TGTTTTCCATTTGTCGACTGTTAGAGAAATTGAAATGAGATTTGATCAGCTGTTCTAGTTGTTCACTAGTTGTTCACTAGTCCACTAGTCCACTAGTCCACTAGTCCACTAGTCCACTAGTCCACTAGTCCACTAGTCCACTAGTCCACTAGTCCACTAGTCCACTAGTCCACTAGTCCACTAGTCCACTAGTCCACTAGTCCACTAGTCCACTAGTCCACTAGTCCACTAGTCCACTAGTCCACTAGTCCACTAGTCCACTAGTCCACTAGTCCACTAGTCCACTAGTCCACTAGTCCACTAGTCCACTAGTCCACTAGTCCACTAGTCCACTAGTCCACTAGTCCACTAGTCCACTAGTCCACTAGTCCACTAGTCCACTAGGCCACTAGTCCACTAGGCCACTAGGCCACTAGTTTCCTAGACTAGTTGTTCAGTTTAGAATTAGTTTTATTCTAATCTTTCAAGTGGATAACTTAATCATTTTAGAAATACTTAAGTTTCAGTTCAAAACGAGATCCCCATTTCACTCTCATCTATGTATTGGTGGATGAGGTGAATCCCCAGCATCGATACATCATCTCCCGTCTCGAGCTCCTTTCATCCCCTCCAAATTGACTCGTCCCCTATCTACCCCTCTTTTTCTTCTTTTTACCCCTTTCAGTTCCGTCAAATATTATCCCCGAGAAGTGCACTTTTTCTCAATTTCAAATAATCCTTCCTTTATTTTTATCGGATTTCGAGAGATGATTTTAAAATATCATTATTTTCTTCTCTATTTTTTCAAATCATTTTCTAATCAGCTATTTTCCGATAGATGATAATCCGTCGGATTGTCTATTAAACAATCGGTCTATCGGTCTATCGGATTGCAAAAATCAATCCAGTTACCCCATTTTCCATACCCAATTTCTCATTTTTCTTTTCTTTTTCTTAAGTTTAAGTTTATTTAATTTATTTACTATTTACTATTTACTTTACGAAGTTTAAAATGTAAGATGTAATCTTGGGGAAGAGTTTAAGAGGCTTTGTTGAATAAAAATGAATAGGGAATAAGGCTAGAATTTTGCCTAACGTTGTAAGCCTTTAAAGTAACTCTTGGATCTAGTACTGTGCCCAGTTCTTTTTTTACTTTTGATCAATGATCAATTGAACAAGTTTTTATCATTCTCAGGATGTTTTTCCTTTCTGCATAATCCAATCGTAAGTAGCTTCTGCAACAAACGAAAAACAAGATTTGTTTTCTTCTATCAAAATCATTTCCTCATATCCAATTATCCTTTTCCTTCATTTCCCGTCACATATCTGTGCAAATAATACTTTAATTGCTCAACTTTTTAAATACTTTTCAATGTTCATTGTTTCATTTGTTCATTTGTTCATTTGTTTGTTCATTTTGTTTTTTTTCTTTGTTTCATTTGTTCAAGCTAAACTTTCCAAATCAAAATAAGATCTAAGCGGCTCTGCATGGATCTTATTTTGATTTGGAAAGTTGCTCTAGCTCTGCATGGATCTTATTTTGATTTGGAAAGTTGCTCTAGCTCTGCATGGATCTTATTTTGATTTGGAATGTATTGGGTTGATGGAAAAGTCCTTTCCGATTTTTTGGGAGAGTACCTTAAATTTGTCGAATTTTTGACGTTTTATAGCTCATCATAAAGCTGAATTCAAGATTCTGAAAATGCGTGTCTAGTAAAAAGTAAATATTTTCAAGTTTAGATTAGATTCTTGAGCTCAGTAGAATCATAATTATCTTAAAAAGATAATTGTGACTCTACTGAGATCAAGAATCTAAATTTTTAAGCCTTAAAATAATTTAAATGTAAATTTTTACTTCTGCAAATGATAATGCAACTTTTAAATGCAAATTTCTTGTTTGATCTAAAGCTAAAGGCATCACTGATTTATTGGGTTGATGGAAAAGTCCTTTCCGATTTTCCGATTACCTTAAATTTGTCGAATTTTGACGACGTTTTATAGCTCATCCTAAAGCTGAATTCAAGACGGATCGATTGGTAAAAACCGTTTTGAGATATCTCTTTTCTAAAAGTTTTTGCAGCTATTTTAGTAAAGGGCGGCAGAGCCAAAAAATGGCTGCTTTCACGTTTCGTTAGTTTTCCGTGCAGAAACCTAGGCTAAAAACATGTGTTTCGTGATCAGCGTCAAAAATAATCCCTAGACACGCATTTTCAGAATCTTGAATTCAGCTTTAGGATGAGCTATAAAACGTCAAAATTGGACAAATTTAAGGTACTCTCCCAAAAAATCGGAAAAGACTTTTCCATCAACCCAATATTTATAACTGATATCGACTGATATCAGTTATAGCACTAGGCCACTAGTCCACCAGGCCACTAGTCCACTAGGCCACTAGTCCACTAGGCCACTAGTCCACTAGGCCACTAGTCCACCAGGCCACTAGTCCACTAGGCCACTAGTCCACTAGGCCACTAGTCCACTAGGCCACTAGTCCACTAGGCCACTAGTCCACTAGGCCACTAGTCCACTAGGCCACTAGTCCACTAGGCGTCCACTGGCCACTAGTCCACTAGGCCACTAGTCCACTAGGCCACTAGTCCACTAGGCCACTAGTCCACTAGGCCACTAGTCCACTAGGCCACTAGTCCACTAGGCCACTAGTCCACTAGGCCACTAGTCCACTAGGCCACTAGTCCACTAGGCCACTAGTCCACTAGGCCACTAGTCCACTAGGCCACTAGTCCTTACTGACTTACTTTAAAACTATAAAGATCACAAAGTATAACTATTAACTTTCCTTGTCCAATTCTCAAATAATTTTCGATTCTTCATTGCTTAACTCATTTCCTTTTAAAGCAAATGTTAAAGTCGAAAAAGGTATCACCAAACTGAAGAACTATAATCGATTTCCATTCTGAAATACTCAAAAATTGAGGAAAGTTCAAAAGAAAAGTTTGATCTTTTCTTTTGTGATCTTTTGTGATCAAAATTTTGGGTTCATTTTCGAGTTCCCGTGTTCGTTGCTTTTTCAACTTCATTTCTCGCTTTCTTGACTGAAAAAAGGAACGCAAAACTTTCTTATTCATCGCGTAAATTGAATAAAAGAAAACCCCCAGCTTCCGTCTCAAAAGGGAATACTCCAAAGCTCGAAAAAGTAAAGAGGAATTTTACCTTGAGAATTTGGAGAGATTCCAGAAATTGCTGAAAATTTACAACTGATTTGCAGCCCTTCGTTTCTGAGCTGAAAGCTTTCTGAGCTGACACTGTTTCTGCTGCAATTCTAATTGAATCTATTCAGTCTAATAGCATAGTTTTAATGTTTTGATTGTAAACATTTTCACTAGCTTTACTAGTGCAATAAAAGTTACAAAAGAAAGTTGGGAAAATTTGATCTTAAAACCCAATAAATGATAGGAATTCGAAGGATTTCCGGTCAAAACGGAGGCTCAACGGAAACTCGGAAATGTGGATTAAATAAGGAAATAAGTTCCAAATTAGTACAAAATTTTTGTTCCAGATTTTGCAGCTTTTTCGATGTCCAGTTATTCTTAGAACTTTAGGTTTTTGATTTTAAAATTAACTGACAATTGTGTTTGATATTTAGATAGAATCTCTAGAATTTTGTTTATTTATTGAATCTTTTCATTTATCAGTATCTTTTTTCTCAATCAGGCATTTTAACCAATTTTCAGTCCATTTGCCATTGCCATTTGCCATTTGCCATTTGCCATTGCCATTTGCCGTTTGCCATTGCCATTTGCCATTGCCATTGCCATTTGCCATTTGCCATTGCCATTGCCATTTGCCATTGTCATTGCCATTTGCCATTTGCCATTTGCCATTGCCATTGCCATTGCCATTGCCATTGCCATTGCCATTGCCATTGCCATTGCCATTGCCATTGCCAATCTATAAATTTACTCATATCTTAGCCGGATTCCGGCCGGAAATTTTAGATTTTTACTTTTACTTTTTACTTAGATTACTAGATTTACTTTTCCTGGCTCAAAATCCAATTTTTTATCGAATAAGAGGAAATTCAACGTTTTTAAAACAAATACGGTCAAGGTACGAGCAAAATTCTTAGTTACCACACACTATTTGATACCTATTTGGTAACCAGAGTTGGAACTAGGACAGAGCAAAAACTTTTGCCCTGCCGGACTCGAACCCCCGACCTTTCGCTTACCGAACAACTGTCCTAACCATTACACCACAACCCACTCGACCGCTGTTGCTCCAGAGGGAGTTAACTAACAGCCAACAGAGTTAATCTGGCCCCTTCATTCATCTCCTTATTTGAACATGTGCAGTTAAAGTGTCATTCATTCATGCAAATCATTTTCCATTAGCTTTTTCTTTAGTCTTTTACCTTTATAAATCACCAGGACATAATGTTCTCATTCAATGAACCGAATAATTACTGTTTTATTCCGTTATTCTTTCGACTTTTTTTTGCTTTAAATGACTCAACTCTTTAAATGACTTATGTATTGTACAATAGTACAATAGTACAATAGTACAATAGTACAATGAATTGAATCTTTCGCTTTTACAGGAGTTTTAAATCTTAATCCCATACTTTGAACTATGAAAGAAATAGAGAAATCCTTGAAATTCTTTTTTTAAACACTGATGTTATTTTGAGTAATAGCTTAAGCTTTTAACTAAGCTTAACTAAGCTAATTTTTTTTCTAAAATTTAAACCAACCCCCTTCTGCACTCATATCTTCTTTTCTTTGAAAGTTTGCTAATGAAAAAGAACGCACGAGAAAAAGTGCGTTTAAAATTTGTGCACAAAGTACACCAAAAAGGAATTCTATCTTGAATCCAAAAAAGGAATTCTATCTTCTTGATCCACTAGATCATTCCGCTAAAGAAAAAAGAGCAACGCTTAAGACCAACGCTTACGACCAATTCAAAGATTTATTCATTAAAATGTCGTTTAACCGTTTAACCTTTAACCCCAGAATTCTCTTATTCCTTTTCCTTTTTCATTAAACTATTTCTATTTTTAGAGAATGGAAATTGTTGGTAATGATTGGGAAAGTATTCGGAATACAACATTTGAATCAATTCATGGATATCTTGAAGAACATTCTTCACTCACTTCCCCATCAACGACAATGGAAAAAGAGGAATGCTTTGTGTTTTATGAGGTAACGAAAAAATTCAATAAATTCAAATTCTAACAATCGGATTAACAAGAATGAGTGCTTTCTTAGTTTCCCATTCTATTCTTATCCCATTCTAAAATCTAAATCCATTCAAACCACCCTTTTTAAATATTTAAAACCAATAAACGTTTTCAATAAAATCTCTTACTCTTAAAAAAGTGTTAGAGAAAAAAAAGATGTTTCCATTTTGAAACAAAATAAAAAAACTTTTCAATATCGTTTCCAGAAAAGTCCAGACCTTTCCAATACAATCTTTGCCATGGTTTTCTTTGCCTCTGTCTATGTAACGATTTTTGTGCTCGGAATTGCTGGCAACTTCTCGATAATCTTTGTCACGTTGAAGTACAAGAATTTACAGGTAATTCTGTGTATTTGCTCAAATCTATCGATTTCCAGACTGTTCAAAATATGTTCATCTTGAATCTGGCAGCAAGTGACATCATGATTTGTCTTCTTTCACTGCCAATCACTCCAGTCACCAATATCTATAAGAATTGGTATTTCGGGGCGATGATGTGTCGGTTGATACCATGGGTGCAAGGTAGAGTTTATTCATAAAATTTTATCTGATTTTTCTCTGGAGATCAGATCAGATCGCACTGTTCACTCAGTTTTATAGAAAAATATGGTCCTTGACTAACAACTTCAAGTTAGAATCATGCCCTTGTTGGGCTCATAGCCCGGCAGACTTTAGAATTTGTCAAGAATAGAGATTTGGGGGAAGGATGCAGAGAATTCGGGCATAGTGACGATTAGCAAGGGAGTCAGCGAATAGACTCATTCGCTGACGGCCTTTTGCTTTGCCTATTCCCAAATGAACACCTATCTATCGGGGACGTATGTCAGATCGAGAACGATTACGTGGCTGCACAAAGAACACCAAAGAGTTCTGTACATCGTTCCCAAATGAGATTTGAAACTAAAAAGTTGTACCGTAGGGTTTTCCTGGTCGGTGAATCGATTGGAGAACTATTCATTTTATTGAGTCTACCACTTAAAACTCGGGTTTTCATGGCTCTAAAAGTTATTGAGCTATGAGGAGTCAATGATATTCCTCATCGAGTTAAACATCTATCTCTATTGGCTCTATCAGCTCTCCCTTTTCCAATCTTCATTTACTCCAATTTATTATGGATTCCTCGATGTTTGAGCCGAATTCGTTTGAATAATTGATGCAATCACTTGACGTTGAGAGAAAACGATCGCAAAAACATTTTTATGCAAGAATTTGATTTGAAAGGATGAAAAAATTCGTAAAAACATTGCTTATTATTTTTCAAATTTAAAGGATTTCATTGAAAAAAATATAAAAACGGAAATGAGATCCTGATTTTAATTGGGAAGCTTGGTTAGCTTTTGATTCAAAACATGAGATGAGTTGGCAAGGCAAGGAAATGAATGGGAAAGGTGAAAAATTGGGGAACATCTTTTAATCTTAAGTAGTTTATGATTTAAGTAGATTAAAATCATAAACATCTTTACCTTTTCAGACTTTAAATCTACTTAAATAAATTGTTATTTAAATAATATTTAAAATATTAAACATGGTACTTCATTGTTACCTTTCCAGGTGTCTCCATTTTCATCTGCACTTTCTCACTTGGCGCCATTGCCGTTGATCGATACATTCTTGTGGTTAGTTAGCATTTTTTACAAGAATGAGAAAATTTGCTATGGCCGACTGGTTAAGAGCCTTGTATCTTAGTCGAGAGGTCGAAAGATCAAGGGTTCAATCCCCGCTAGATTATTAGTTTTTTTCCCCTAGGTTAAGGATTTTGCTTGCATATTGTTTGTATCACATTATTGTCTGAATAAATTTACATAGTCAAACCTTTTATAACCATAAATGAGTCTAGAGATCGTATACTGATCTACAATCAATCAAGGCCTAGAATCCCGTTCATCTTTGTAACAACTTTGAGTACTGTTCAGTCTACACTAGTCTGTTCAATCTGTTCAATAGTGACGACTAGTAAAGAGAAAAGGCTCCGTCGTTGTCATTCCCAAATGAACACCTATCTATCGGGGACGTGTGCCAGATCGAGTACGATTACGCATCCGCACAAAGAAAATCAAAGTTTTTCGTTTGCTCTGTACATCGTTCCCATATGAGATTTGAAGCTAAAATGTTGTGGGGCGGGGGTTTCCTGATCGAGGAATCGATTGGAGCTATTCATTTTATTGAGTCTACCACTGGTTAAGTGGCTTGTATCTTAGTTGAGAGGTCAAGAAATCAAGGGTTTAATCTCTTAAATCTTTAAAGATTATTAGTTTTTTTCCCTAGATTTGGGTTAAGGATTTTGCTTGCATATTGTTTGTATCACATTCTTGTGTGAATAAATTTACATAGTCAAACCTTTTATAAGTATAAATGAATCTAGAGATTGCATAGTAATCTATAATCAATCAAGGCCTAGAATCCCATTCATCTTTGTAACAACTTTGAGTACTGTTCAGTCTACACTAGTCTGTTCAATCTGTAACAACTTTGAGTACTATTCAGTCTACACTAGTCTGTTCAATCTGTTCTGTTCAGTCTGTTCAGTCTGTACTGTATTTAAAGAGAACATTAGTTGGCATTAAGTTTGTAGAGTAGATCGTCGGGAAGCAAATGGATCTAAAAAACCACAAAGCTTTGCCACAGAAAATGCTGTTAAAATGCTGTTATAATTGTCTTTAGACAACGCAGTTTATACTTTTTATTTAATTTATCTTAATCTTTTATATAAGAATGCGACAAATTTGATCCCAGGTTCGACCCCATTCTCCACCGATTACGAAAAGGGGAGCATTGATTTTGACGGCGATTCTCTGGAGTGTTTCCATTGTTGTCACTTTCCCATATGCATATTACATGACCGAAGAGTCGTATGAGGTTTGAATTTACGAACTTTCAAATTCAATTACTAGATTATACTTGTTTAGGATGAAAATATATGCGGGAAATTCTGCACAGAGAAATGGCCGAACGCTTTCACGAGAAGAGCCTACACTCTCGTTGTGATGGTAGTTGAAAACGATTGAAAAGTGTTTTGAAATCGAAATTTGCAGATAGCTCAATTTGTTCTCCCTTTCCTGTTGATGGCCTTTTGCTATACATCGATTTTCGCCCGTCTCAAGACAAGAACAAAGGTAGAAATTGAAGGGAAATATATGGAAGTTGTTTTAAAATAGATTCATTCATTGATAAGATTAGAAAACTAGAACTTACTGGCTAATTAACCCGCTTAAATAAATCTAGTAATTAAATTAGCTGAAATAAATCTATTTTCAAAAGGAGATCCTGTTTTTTGATTTGCAATGATTGCAATGATAAACCTCTAGATTAATGATAGCTATTGATAAGATTTAAAAATTAGAACTAGAACTTACTCTTTGTCTAGAGCTAATGATCTATTTCAAGGTCCGTTTACGGAAAATGGACGCCCGATCAACTGCCTTAGAAGCAAGCACAATCAATCATGATCACGAAAAGCAACCTGATCAAGTAAATTCTCAAAATCATCAAATCATCGATTTCTAATCAATTTCTAACTCATATTCTTTTTAGAAATTCTTCTTGGATCAACAAGGCAAAGATCGACAACGATTATTGGATCAAACAAGAAGAACAACGAATATTTTGGTGGCTATGGTGAGTTTTGAATTTGTAATTGTTAATAGACAAAAGTATTACCGTATTTTCTCTAATAGTAGTGCACCCTGAGCGTTGCCTAAATTGCTTGAAATCTCGAAAAGCGCTTATCAGAACCTATCGATGTGGGGTCGGAAAATGTAGCTGACGATGAGATCTAGTGGGGGATTTGGAGTGTTGAGCTTCTGCAAAAGCTGGAAACTGTAAAATAGTCACCAACGCGGCGTGCACTACTATTAGAGAGAATATCGTATTTGTATCTTAAGTTCTCTTAGAGAAAGTATTCAAGATTCAAATCCTGATCTTAAAATAATCAAATGTGTTCTTAAAATATCGAGCAATACGATATTCTCTCTAATAATATTGTACCCTTACTTTATATACCGTATTTTCTCTAATGGTAGTGCACCCTGAATTGCTCGAAAATTGCTCGAAATCTCAAAAAGCGCTTATCAGAACCTAACGATGTGAGGTCGGAAAATGTAGCTGACGATGAGATCTAGTGGGGGATTTGAGGGTTAAGCTTCTGCAAAAGCTTGAAAACCGTAAAATAGTCACCGACTCGGCTCGCCGGGGTGCACTACTATTAGAGAAAATACGGCAAACTAATTCTCATTGTAATTCAGGTTGTAATGTTTGGAATGACTTGGTTACCGCACAATGTGATATCCCTTGTGATTGAGTATGATGATAATCAAAGTTTCTTTCATCTTTTCGGACGGGAAGATCTCGATTTCTCTTATTTGTTAAATCTTTTTACTCACAGGTAAATTATTTAACTGGTTTTAACTAGTTTTAACTGGTCAAGATCAAAAAGATCAAGTATTATCAGATCAAATTCCAATCTAAATCATTTTTTAATCATTTTCAGCTTTGCTATGACTAACAATGTGACAAATCCAGTACTTTACGCTTGGTTGAATCCGAAATTTCGTGAATATGTGATTAGAACATTCATTGGAAGATCTAGAGATGGAAGTTCAAGGTTTGAATCCTGATAAAAACTAAGCCTCTATTGAATTAACATATAAATTAACATATAGATTTTTCCAGAGTCATCTCTCAACCAACCACAAAGTCGTTTGTTTCAAATGGGAACGGCAATGTGGCCATGGCTGCTGCACCAAGGAAAAGAAGTCAGCTCTTTTAAATAGTCGAGAGTTTTGAGATCGAAAACTTATCCCACCCTATTATAGAAACTTAATTAACTAAAAATATTGTTATATAAATCTTTTCTTTGTTCAGTTTCAACTTTCACTGGTTTCGCCGCAAAGAACTCGGTCCTAAAAAAGCTCAAGCGGGAGAAGAGGTGAGTTTTAAAAAACTGTTTTAAAGAACTGTTACAGACTGTAACTTACAGTACTTATCTATTAATCTATCTATTTTCTGATATAAAAAAGATTTACTAGTAAGCTGTAAACTTGATCGAAATTCTATCGAATTAGATTTGATCGAATCAATTCGATCAAGATTTTTATCGGATCGGATCCAATCGAAAACTGGTTTTAACTGGCTTTAACTGGTTTTAACTCGTTTTAACTGGTTTTAACTGGTTTTAACTGGTTTTAACTGGTTTTAACTCGTTTTAACTCGTTTTAACTCGTTTTAACTCGTTTTAAATGGTTTTAAATGGGTTTTAACTGCTTTTAACTGCTTTTAACCAAATCTTCACTCAATTCATTGAATCTTGTTTTTGTTCGAATCATTTACCTTTTAAATAAAATCAAAATTTGCTGAAAAGCTAAGCTAAGCTGAAAAAAATGCTTTAAGGTATGATCTTGAGCTAATCAGATCCTTTTTGTTGACTGAATTGAATCGAATTCAATCCAATAGAGACTTTTATCAAATCGGATCATCATTCCGAGACAATTTCCTCTAATATAATCTGATTTCAATCCATCGAATGGCAAATCTAATAGCAGAATAACAAGACGCTAAGATTAGACTCATCTAGTTACGCAGTGGCTTTGGTTGAGCTAATCAGATCCTAATCAGAGTGGCTTTGGTTGAGCAAACAGCCAGAGTATTGCACAATAATTGCATTAAAAGTACTTTTACAGTGCGTTTCAAATTCTTAAACGCACCCTTTAAAATAGCGGATTTTGCATTTTGACCACCGCTACAACTATTAATCTTTTTCTATGAGAAAGAGCATGTCTTAAAACCCTAATTAACACGAAAAAGAAGCATACTGTAAAAAGTAAAAATTTTAAAAATAGAAACTTTTTGCTAAATCGACCGTTTCAAATTCTTAAACGCACTATGAAAATATTTTTATTTATCGACACAAATTAAAAATCAAAGGTTAAAAATCAAAACTAATAATCTGTACACGCACCAGAACGATTAATTACTTGAAAAATGCGGTCTGGCATTGAATTCATGAGGTTTTGAAGAGCAGAGACGCCGAGATCGCTCCAGGCCGAAAAAATTGCTGCTTTCAGTGTAGAAACGTCTTGAAACTGACGATGATTCTTGTAGACATCTCGGACAAGTATTTCCCATAAATTTTCTATCGGATTGAGGTCAGGAGACTGAGCGGGCCAGTCCAAAGTTGCAATGTTGTTGCTGTTCAGCCAGTCTCGGGTGTCTCCGGCTCGATGAATTGACGCGTTGTCGTATTGAAACCAGTCCGGAACGGTTGGATTTAGGAGCAAAAACGGCAACAAGCAATTGTTCAAGATATCTATCTAGTCATCCGATTCGAAACCATCTTCAGAGCGACCGTTCCATCAGCACAAAGGCGGCCCAAACCATCACAAAACCACCGTCGAAGTTTTGAGTTCCAAACACCATCGGATCACGTCGAAGATCCTTCCAATAGTAGTCGACGCCATTGGGACCATCCCAATTCCATTTCTTCTCATCGGAAAAGATCACCTAAACGCTAAAAAAATAATAAAACATAAGCGGCTTTCTAACCATAGACCAATCCTGATTCATATGAGCCTTGGCGAACTCCAATCGGGCTTTCTTGTGCAAAAGCTTCACGACCGGCTGCATGTTCAATAATTATCGATCGATATGTGGATTTTCCGTGACGACTCGCCAAATTGTCGACTTCGAAGCGTCGATTTTCAGTTCCGTTTTCACTTCATTGATCGTTTTTCCGTGGATTTTGTTCACAATATGGCGTCTAGCTCGCGGCGTAAGCTTTGGTTTTGGTCCTGGCTTCTTCTTTGGTGCAGAAACGAACTCGAACTTTCTATAATTTCGCACGGCAGAGTCGGATCGGCCAAAATTGTTTGCGATTTTCCTTATTCAGTCGCCAATCCTCAAACGGGCATCAATCTGGCCTTTATCATAATCCGTGAGCAGCTTTCCGTGTGCCATTTACCTGGAAATTAACAAAAATTATAAATTTAATAAAAAAATATGCACAACAAAACGAAAAATTTCAAATAACAACAGCAAAGGCGGGTGCGTTTAAGAATTTGAAACGGTCGATTTAGCAAAAAGTTTCTATTTTGAAAATTTTTACTTTTTACAGTATGCTTCTTTTTCGTTTTATTTAGGTTTTAAGACATGCTCTTTCTCATAGAAAAAGATTAATAGTTGTAGCGGTGGTCAAAATGCAAAATCCGCTATTTTAGAGGGTGCGTTTAAGAATTTGAAACGCACTGTAGATAGATAACCAATATTCGAATTCTTAATTAAAACTCGAAATTCTAGACGCTCAATGCCGGAGAACGGGCACAAGCCGATTCTCAACAGCACACCGATTCCCTATGAAGTGGTGGAGCCGAGTGAGCACGATGCCTTCGTCTAGGACTTCTAAGATCAAATACCTTGTTAGATATGACTCATCAAGTGTACTTTGTGCTGGGGAAATGAAAACGTTCCCTTTTGTAGCACAGTAGAATTCCCTAATTGAATTGGAAGAAGTGTGGTTGAGTGGGAGAAAGGGTGCGTTAAAGCATAAAGTACACTAAAAGAAAATACCGTAAATACTGTAATCGTACCTCACCCCCATAATGACGGTGCGGAGTGTTACGTAGTCTAGTTTTGGACGCGTTCTCTCGACACTGGTTTATGCTACAGTGCGCGCTTAGGTACCAAAAAATAGCCCTGAATTTCAGCTATTTTTTGATACCAAAGACACATTTTTTGAAAGTACGAGCGCTTTGAAAAAAACGAAATACTAAAAAACTTTTGCGACTACGCGACTGTACGAGGGCGGTGGGGTACTATTACAGTATTTACGGTAATCATTCCTTATATTTCTTTAATATTTTCAAAAATTGTGTGGATCAAAGTTTGAATGTAAATTTTGCCAATTAAAGTCTAGGTTTTGGTCAAGTTACGTGAAAATGAAATATTCCATTAAATTCCATTAAAAAGGCCACTTTTTCTTCTTTCGAAATGCTAATTGTCGGGTTTAAAATACTAATTTAAAAGAAAATTTTCATTATTTTAAAAGAAAAGTAGTGAAAAATTGATTAAAATGTTTCTCAAATATCAATTTGAAATTAATTTTCGAATTATATTGAGGATCCTGGTAGAGTAACCAAAGCAAAACCTAGACTTGATTTCTCTTCATTCTATTCTATTCTTTTATTGCCAAACGAAAAATAAAGCTATCTTTCTTCCAATACAGTAAACTATCATTGTTTTCTTTGAAAAATTAGCATTTAATGATACGATAACTGTTCAGTTTTTGTCTAGTTACAGTAGGATGAGAGATTACCCCGTAAACGCATTCCATCTAGCTCACCACTGAGAAGAAATAAGCCGTGAAATCTCACTCAATATGCTTAAATAAAAGTATTTAGCTAATAATTTAGCTAATAACTTAAATAGCTAATAAACTCAGGCTATTAGATTTAAGCTATTAGATTAATTCTTAAGATAAAAGCCTTTTCAGTCTAATTCTAATCTTTTTAATTCTAATTACTGCGCCAGATCCGTTTACTAGTAACTAGATACTAGTAACCAGATACGTTTACTAGTAACCAGACAGTAACTAGACAAAAACTAGATCACCGTATCTTTCAAGGCAAATTTTTCCTTATCTAGGATTCTTTTTCAATTCATTCACCCAACAGTTCTTTTATCATTGAATTTTTCTTTTATTGGGTGATTGATATCATGTGTGTGTGTGTATTCTTTACGAGTCCTATGAATAAAAGATACTGGTACTTGTCGGTTATACATCCGCAAAGACTCATCTCGTTTAAGCATCCCCATTCGAGTTTCGGTTATCGATTTTTGCTTCACTGATCGACTGATCACTTCAGCGCGAGCACTCTATCTCCTTTACTGAAAATACCGTATTCTCTCTAATAGTATTGCGGTTCAGAAGGGGATTCAAAAATACTAGTGCGCACTACTATTAGAGAGAATAAGGTAATCACCCCTTACACGTTGTCAGCTCCTTGCAACCGAGTTGAGTCATTGTAAATTTATAGCCGACAAGTACCAAGACACTCTTTTAATCCCGGAACTAAATCTTGATAATTTGAAAATAAACAGTTGAGACTTTCAAAGAAAAAAATCCCTAGAGACGAGTCTGGCATTTTCATCGAAAATTTCATTCTCTGCACTGAAGAATAATAAAAAGAAGACGATTTTTTTGCTTTAAAATAGATTTTTTTTGATATTCAGTACCTGAAATGTCGAGTGTTTTAATAATTTTTTCAAAGAATTTGAATTTAATTGAATTTCTGCATTGAATAGATCTATTTGATCTTTTTTTTTGAGAGATTCTTAATTGATTCTTTAAAATCAAAAAGGAAACTAGATCAATTCATAGCTTCTTATACTTAAAAAGAAACAATTGCGGTAATTGTAATAGTAATAACTAATAGTAATTGACCATTGATTCCCTAGTGAAGTTTAGCATATAAAAAATGTACTAATTCTAAAGTTTCTGAGTTTTTCAACTGTACAAATGAATTCATACCCAAGTCACTTTCATTTTAAATTCGATTTGAGTTCATTGATTTTAGTTTTAAAGTTGATTTGAGTTTAATTTTTAATTTATTTTAGTTTTGAAGTTGATTTAAGTTGAATTTCATTCCATTTCATCTTTTTTTTTTCGTAAAACTTATTTAAGTTCAACATTTAATCTTTTCAAACATCACGCGCAAAAGAAAAATTTGCCTCCCACGAGAGAAATGAAACTCCTTCAAAATAATTGAATATTAAACTTTCAATTTTTATCTTTTGAAACTCTTGTTTTAAAATCCATTATACTATATTCTCTCTAATAGTAGTGCACCTTGCCCAGCCGAGTTGATGACTATTTTGCAGCTTCCAAAGTTTTCACAGAAGCTCAACACTCAAATCCCCTACTAGATCTCATCGTCAGCTACATTTTCCGACCCCACATCGATAGGTTCTGATAGGTTCTGATTAGCGCTTTTCGAGATTTCGAGCAATTTAGGCGATGCTCTGGGTGCACTACTATTAGAGAGAATACGGTAATTTATAAGTTTAGATGAGGATCCATACTGGAACCTATCGTTTCCTTTTCCCTTGTATGATATATGTAGATCTATACTCAAATGCCGTATTCTCTCTAATAGTAGTGCACCTTGCCCAGCCGAGTTGATGACTATTTTGCAGCTTCCAAAGTTTTCACAGAAGCTCAACACTCAAATCCCCTACTAGATCTCATCGTCAGCTACATTTTCCGACCCCACATCGATAGGTTCTCATAAGCGCTTTTCGAGATTTCGAGGAATTTAGGCAACGCTCAGGGTGCACTACTATTAGAGAGAATACGGTATATGAAATGTAAACTGTATTTTATAGTTCATATAGTAAGTAATGGATATTGTTTCTATTTGAATTCAAAAACAACCAACTTTCAAAACTTTATAGAGTCAATACTTGAGGAATTGAAGAATAATTTGCTTAAAAAACTCTATACTTTCAAAAGCTTTGATTCTTTTCATGTTTATAAGTACTTTGTCTTTTCCATTTGAGAAATTTGCATACATCTTTGGTTAAAGTACGTTTAAATCACAAAAACTGGTTCTTGTGTCTTTGATTCACGTGGCTAATAACTTGATTAGTTTATGACTTTTATTCCCACAAATTTGCATACCGTATTCTCTCTAAAAGTAGTGCACCCTGTCAAGTCGAGTTGATGACTATTTTACAGCTTCCAAAGTTTTCACAGAAGCTCAACCCTCAAATCCCCCACTAGATCTCATCGTCAGCTACATTTTTCGACCCCCAAATCGATACGTTCTGATAAGCGCTTTTCGAGATTTCGAGCAATTTAGGCAACGCTCAAGGTGCACTACTATTAGAGAGAATACATTATATCTATTCATTTTAGCTTTACTTTATGGAGCATTTACATATCCCGTGGACTGATTGGCCTTCAATTATCATGGATCTTTCGATTCCTTTCGCTATTTTAGCTGATATCTCAATTTATCGAACTTTTGGCCGCAATTTAAAGCTCTGCCCAATATTTTTAACCTCAATGAAAAGTATTTGTGAGTTCTAAAAAGAATTCAAAAATTATTTGAACTCTCAGTTCTGATCAACATCGAGATCTATCTACAAGAAATTTTGATTAAAGAACCAGCAAATTTTGGTTACTTTTCCAACTTCTGGATGCAATATGGATGGCTTTTTGGGAAATTGGTGTATGCAAATCCATCAGGTATAGAAAAAGTAATGTGAATATACTTTTGCATCTAAATTTAGCATGGAATACGGCTGTTTTAATGTTCACATTGGTTATTGGAGTGACAAGGCTTTGGTGTGCAATGGCTCCAGTATCATATCAAAGGGTAAAAATGATTAAAAAATGTCAAAAGTTTGAGAAAAAGATGTTATCTACCCAACTTAAAACAAGCTTTCAATTAGGGGCTCGGAGTACGGGTATGGCCGACTGGCTAAGAGCCCTCTCTCCGAGTGGTAAGGTGAAGGGTTCGACCCCAGCCGCGTCCTTTTTAGTTCATTTTTTTACTTTTTTGCCTACATTTAGGGCTTAGAATTGATTCTATATTGTTTGTATTACATTATTCGTGTAAATAAATGTATTTTAAATGAAAACTTCTGTCAATAAGTAGGATAAAGGGATGCTTTGGTCATTAAGCGCTTAGATTCACACGTGATTTTATTCTAGACTTTGTAAAGCTAAAGAAAATTGATTCTAATTTATGAATCTAAATAAATAAGGCTATAATGTTTTTGGATTGTTTCTGTAGCCGTGGCGCAGTCGGAAGCGGGCTTCTCTATGAATCACACGATCCTGGTTCGAGCCCCATAGTAACCCTCAATTTTAAATAAATTTTTGAAATTTTAAATGCTATAACTATATTTTAACAAATTTTAGTTAGTCTTTTATCTGTTTAGACTGTTTTTTATATACAATTCTTTCTAGAATTATATATAAGAAGCTTTTGAGTTTCTCTTTTCTCTTTCTAGAGTTTAGAATTTGTTTTTTGATATAGAATTCTTTCTAGAATTATAAGAAGCTTTTGAGCTTCTCTTTTCTCTTTCTAGAGTTTAGAAACAACAAGTTTCTTCAATCAAAAATCACAAAATTCAGATTTGGAAGCTAGTATTTTATCTGTTTAGACTCCTTTTTATATCTAATTCTTTCTAGAATTATAAATAAAAAGCTCATGAGTTTCTCTTTTCTCTTTCTTTCTTCAAGAACAAGAAGTTTCTTCAATCAAAAATCACAAAATTCAGATTTGGAATCAACGTATGACTTTTATCGTTTCTTTCTCCATTTGGTTTCTTGCTTTCATTTTAACATTACATATATTTATTTTTGTTGATTGTGAAGCAATTTTAAAGGTAACTTGTTTCTTTTTTTAAAGTCTAAAAGAGAAATTCAGGATGGTGATTCGATTTCAATCGCTTTCAACACTGTTACCTCAAATTTTATCCACAGTTGTTTTACAATATATTTGAGACCGGCTCTAGTTTTTGCGATTATCGTTTGCTATTCTTTATTGGGAATTCTTCTATCTAGGTTTGTTTTTTAGTTAAACAAAAGCCGAAAAAATGATTCTAGAATGAAAACGCGGAAATCTTTGGTCAATAAAAAGGTTTGGAATTCGTCAACGAAAAGGATCGTTATCTCTCAGATTTTTATTTTATTTCGTAAGTAAACGAAAATGATTGTTAAGTTTAAAGATATGTTTTAAGATAAAAAATAGCTTCTTTCTTTAGAATTCTTTCTAGAATTGTGGGTTATTGTAGCTGGAACCATATTGGAACCATATTGGAACCGTATCTGAACCATATTGGAACCGTGTCATAGCCCATCATGAATTTCAGCCGATTATGAATGAGTGGGTCCGGACGCCTCTAACCATCAAGTATTTGGTATCATTCAACGCAGAAACATTCATAATTATGTTAAATTTTTAAAATTAGAAAGATTGGGTAAAAAAGAAAAAAAATTATGGCACTTCAAAGTTTTCTCTTGAACAAACAGTTTTTTTGCTCTAATTTTTTTTCTTTTTATCAAATCTTGCTAATTTAAAAAATTTAACATAATTATGAATGATTCTGCGTTGAATGATACTAAATATTTGATGGTTGGACGCTCCTAGACCCACCCATTCATAATCGGCTGAAATTGATAATCATCTGAAATTGATAATCGGCTATGGGGGCCACGCCGATTTTGAATGAAACGTTGTAGCGCGTTGTACGACATATATGAGAAAAAAGAACCAATCTAGAATCTAGCCGGCGGGATTGAGCTCTTAACCTTCCGACTATACTTGATGGTTGGACGCGTCCTGACCCACTCATTCATAATCATCTGAAATTCATAATCAGCTACGGGGGTCCCGCCAATTTTGAATGAAACGTTGTAGCGCCGGCAATTTTTAACCTAAACTCACAAATTTGGTACCAATCGACGCAGAATTTAATTCACTACCAGATGATATAATATTGACCTAGTTGGACGCTCCTAGACCCACTCATTCATAATCGGGGGTCCCGCCGATAACGAAAAGAATCGTTATCTCTCAGATTTTTATTTTATTTCGTAAATAAAATAAAGTGATTGTCAAGTTTAAAGATATGTTTCAAGATAAATAGCTTCTTTCTTTCGAATTCTTTCTGGAATTGTAGATAAAAAGCTTTTACTTTGAAGTTCTTAATCAAATTTTAAAAGTGTAAACTTTTCTGAGAAAAAGAAAGCTTAACAAGAATTTAGAAGCATTTTTGTGTTTGATTTCTTTTAAACAGATAAATGAGAAAAGACAAAAGACCAAAGAGGTAAAAGAGACAAAAGAAAACCTATTCTTATTCAGCTAAAGTCATCGCAGCCATTATGAATATCTACGTACATCTACAAACATTTCCTGGTCTTAACCTACCCTCACTAAATCTCGATCTTCTCTTTCTGACTTTAAAGTTCAGTAGTGCTGGCTATGGTATCTTTGCGACTATAGTCGTCTTGATCTGCTTTCCAACAGTGAGTTTATTTAAAATTCATCACTATACTATATCCTTGACAATATTGTACTCAATTTTGAATCTATTAGCTTGGTAAATATGAAAGGTTATTTTTTACAAGAAATATTGCCCTGTCGTTACGAAGAACATTCCCTGTCTAGGATTTTTCTCAATAATATGTCAAAATGTGCTCATGTTTTTTTTGCAAAAACATTTTTGTTTTGAACAATATTTGTATTGTTGGATAATGGATGCAAAGATGGATAACCAAAAATTTAAAATCAGGGCCGCCATTTTCTTTGAATTCAAGTTAAACAAGAAAGCTACGGAATGCTATCAGAACATTTGTACTGTTTTTGGAGAAGCTGCTCTTACTTACAAACAATGTTGTGTTTGGTACGATCGCTTCAAAACGGGAAACGAGTCATTGGAAGATGCACCACATGGAAAGCCACCGATTACTTTGGACGATCAGCTGTTCATGAACGAGGTCGACTTGAATCCATCGCAAAAGTGTAGAAAATTAGCAGAAAAGCTCGGATGCACTCATGTTACCATTTACACGTTCTTGGGAAATCATATCGAAGCGGGAAATGGCTCCCCCACGACCTCACTGATGCCCACAAAGTCACACGAGTCACCTTGAGCTCTGTTCTTCTACGTAAAGCTAGCCATCGTGACTTTTGGAAGTATTTTTTGACATCTGATGAGACTTGGCTTTCGTATGAAAATATTCAACTCTATGGACAGTGGCTGAGTTCGAAGCAGACCTCTCATTCTATCCCGAAGCCTCCGAAAAAGTTATGCTTTGTGTGTGGTGGAATGCTAAGGGATTGGCTCATTTGGAAATATTAGATAAAGGAGACACTGTTGACGGAAGACTTTATGCAGAACAAATGGGTCGAGTCGATCCAGCATTGAGGAAAAAGAGGATCGATCCATCGAAGGGCAGATTTCTTCACGACAATGCTAGGCCTCACATTTCAAAGATCGTCCACGAACAAATCGACAAGTTGAGCTGGAAACTTCTTCCACACCCACCATACAGCCCTGATCTAGCCCCATCGGATTACCATCTCTTTCGGTCAATGAAACAAGCAGTTTCTGGACAGCAGTTCAAACAAAAGCAGGACATCGAAAATTGGGTTGCCAACTATTTTGCCTCTAAAAATCTTTAATTTTACGAGGACGGTATTCGTGATTTGGGGCAACGTTGGAAAGAAGTTATTAATGCTTGTGGTGAATACATTTGATTTTGAAAGTGCTTAAATAAATTTTTCTGTTATGTTAAAAATGATCAAAAAAATAACCTTTCATATTTACCAAGCTAATAAATCAAAAATTTTATTTCCAAAATTATGGAAACTTTTTTTTTTTTGAACTTTTTGAATCCCAATTTAAAACTTTCATGTCTAACTATTATCGAAATTTGACTACAAATTGTTGATCAGTACATTGGATTAATTAGAGCTTTATTGAAAGGAAATTAAATAGCTTCACTTGATCAGAGCTTGACTTACTGTAAGACAATACAGTGTAGTTTTTTTTTAGACATGGGAACAATTGAAGAAGACTTTCATTCGTCCACTCATTCCCTCGTTTTGGACAAAAAAGAAAGAGGCGATCTCGTTAGTCATTTGAAATTCTAATAAAAGTTTTACAAAAATTGAATTGAATTAAACATTTTAAACAAGAAAAACATCTAAAATTCCGGTTTTTTTTCCCTAACTTTGAAGCATTATAACTCGAGAATTATACATTGAAATCCAAAAGTGTTATAGTGATTCTAAAAGCTTGAAACGTGATCTATAAGATGGTATATTTGTTTTTTTCCAAATAAAAAAACTCAAATGAAAACGTAACTCTCAAGCTATAATTTGTCGAATTAACCCATCAGCTTGGAAAGACCAGGTCTCTGGCTTCAAAACTAGACTCACTATTTCTAATCCAATAAGCTCGGGACTAGCTTGGTCCAGAAAATTCTTTGAATCCTTTTCTACCTGTTTAATGTGGGGCGAAATGCTGTGGTGGTGGGACAGGTGGGATGAACTATGGAGCGGCTTGGGGAGCTGGCTGAGGCGCGAATTGGGGCACTGGAGCTGGAGCGGGTGGTGGAGGGGCGAAGGCTGGTGGTGGAGCCTGTTGGGCGTATCCTTCAGCTGGGGCACCTCCGAATGATTGTTGTGGGGCTCCTCGAAATCCTCCCAAAGTTGCATATCCGCCTCCAGGGGCTCCCATTGGTGTAGGTGGAGCGAAAGGAGCGGGAGCTTGCTGCGCGTATCCGCCTTGTGGGGGCGCCGATCCGCCTTGTGGGAGCGCCGATCCGCCTTATGGGGGCGCCGATCCGTGTGTTTAATGGAACTTTAACACATTAACAACCGCGCATCTTTTGCAAAACAGCTGATTTGGGGATGAGGTATCAAAATGAATAACTAAGTCCCAGAAATTTGCACATGAAGGCTTAAAAGACTCTAGAATCTGAATTCGGTCTTAAATTTAAGCCAACAAAACTCCATATAGTTTATTTTCGCAGTTTCTTTAATTCTTTTATTTTATACGCTAATTTCTATTAGCTAACTTGTCGACAAATGTATGCTAAATGTTACCGGCTCTGAATTTCCTTTAAAATGGTTTTGAGTCTTCAAAAATTATTGATTAACTCAGAAAAACGCAATTTTTTGAAGCCGGTTTAATTACCCAGGGGGGAAAGTGTGCCAGATTGACTCTTTTACGGAGTTGATGACTCTTTTACGGTTTCCAAGCTTTTGCAGAAGCTCAACACTCAAATCCCCCACAAGATCTCATCGTCAGCTACATTTTCCGACCCCACATCGATACGTTCTGATAGGTTCTGATTAGCGCTTTTCGAGATTTCGAGCAATTTAGGCGATGCTCTGGGTGCACTACTATTAGAGAGAATACGGTATATGAAATGTAAACTGTATAGTAGTAACTTTTATAGTTCATATAGTAGTATTAATGGATATTGTTTCTATTTGAATTCAAAAACAACCAACTTTCAAAACTTTATAGAGTCAATACTTGAGGAATTCAAGAATAATTGCCTTAAAAAATCTCTATACTTTCAAAAGCTTTGATTCTTTTCATTTCAAAAAGCTCACTGTACTATTTTTGTTTCACACTGTACTGTTTCACAATATTCTCATAAACCAAACTTTAGGTGTAAGAAGTATTTTTTGAATTTTTAAACACGGAAATCGAATCTAACATTATCTCTTTGAACTAAAAAAAAAATGTGACTGGGGAATTCAAATTGAAACTTTTTTTTCTGCTTTCTTGAAATCTTTTACACTTTTCCTCTAATTAAATAAAACAAAAAGAATTTTAGACTTGGCGTCACTTCAAGACAACTTTCATTCCATTCTTTCCAAAATTTATCGTATCAAGAGTAAAAGTGAGAAAACTGGATGCTGTCTCGTGGATTGTCTAAAAATTGGCATAAAAGTTGAAATATCTTTCATATGTGATCTTTTTTTGAGTCCAATTTCCAATAAGTTCTCATAAGCGGTTCTCGAGATTTCGAGCAATTTAGGCAACGCTCTGGGTGCACTACTATTAGAGGGAATCCGGTAATTTATAAGTTTAGATGAGGTCCGTACTGGAACCTATTTTTCCCTTTTCCGTTGTATGATATATGTAGATCTATGCTCAAATACCGTATTCTCTCTAATAGTAGTGCACCTCGCCAAGCCGAGTTGATGACGATTTTAAGGCTTCCAAAGTTTTCACAGAAGCTAAGCACTCAAATCCCTCACAAGATTTCATCGTCAGCTACATTTTCCGACTCCACATCGATAGGTTCTGATAGGTTCTGATTAGCGCTTTTCGAGATTTCGAGCAATTTAGACAACGCTCAGGGTGCACTACTATTAGAGAAAATACGGTATTTCAGATTTCTATTTTCAAGATAAAAATGAATTCAAAGATCTCTAAAATAAAATACTTTCTTCAAATGATCTTTGATTCACTAAAAACTTCTAATTAATTCATTTAATAGTCGAAAGATTTAAATAGAAATGTCAAAACTTGAGACAAATCAAAAGAGTATACTGTACCATCATTCAGAAATGTTCTCTGCTGCTTTCTATTTTCTGTTTTTGATTCAAAATGAGTAACAAGTCTCGTGAAGAAATTCTTTTTCTGAAATCAGAAGCCACGATATCCGCATTGCCAAAAAGTCCCAAAGCAAATTATCCCCCAATTTCTTTATTTTTGCATCGCAAAAAGTCTTCTATATACTTATAATTTTCAATATTTAAAAAAAACTTATAATAAAACTTTGTTTTCTTTTAGATACAGTAAGTTTGCGTTGAAAGTTGCAGTGAATCATTTCAAGTTATTTAAACATCAGATTTAAACAGTTTTAAGATATTACAGCCTCACTCTTTTTCCTGTAAATCTTTCTACGAATCATTTTTTTATAACTGTTATATGTTTGTTTAGATAACTGTTTAGATAATAAGTATAGAAACGTTCAAGTTCAGCATAAAATGCCCTTCTTTGAGTGGACCGAGTGGGCCTCAATTCTCCTCGATTTCTCCATTCCATTCGCCATTCTCGTTGACATTTCTATCATTCGAACTTTCGGAAAATCTCTAAAATTATGTCCAATATTCTTAGCATCAATGCGAAGCATTTGTAAGTTCAATTTCTATTTTCAAATCAATCCATTTAGTTATAATCAACATTGAGATCTACCTCGTTGAAATCTTTATTCAAGAGCCTGCAAATATGGGCTATTTCTCTAATTTCTGGCTTGATAATGAAGTTCTGTTTGGGAAAATCGTATATGCAAATGCATCAGGTAATTAAAAATCTTGTAATATAATAGATTTCAAAACTAACTTGTCAATGTTTAGTTTGGAATACCGTGGTGTTAATGTTCGCAATGGCAATCGGTTTTACAAGACTTTGGTGTGCCTGGTCGCCGGTTTCTTTTCATCGAGTAAGTGTACTTTTTTTTCTTCTTTCTCTTGTTAGGAAGTTAAGGTATTGAATAGCTCAGTGGTTAGAGCTGAGTGCCTGGAATGGAAAGGTTAAGAGTTCAATCCCCTCTCCGGAAATCTACTCTCAATTCCATCACTTCTTTATTGCTTATTTCTTTAGTGCATAGTTTTCTTTAATATTTTTTACTGGTAGACTGGTACCTCAAGATTTTAAGAAATCCATGAAAGTCTAATAGTCAAATAGTCAAAAAGATTTGTTTTTCATCTAACAAGAGATGGTGAGGTGCACTACTATTAGAGAGAATACGGTATGTAAATTTGTGAGAATAAAAGGCATAAACTAATCAACAGAGAATACGTTGTGTAAATTAGAATGCCAGTACAAAAGGATAGTAGTGCACCCTGAGCGTTGCCGAAATTGCTTGAAATCTCGAGAATCGCTTATCAGAACCTATCGATGTGGGGTCGGAAAATGTAGCTGACGATGATATCTTGTGGGGGATTTGAGTGTTGAGCTTCTGTGAAAACTTTGGAAGCCGTAAAATAGTCATCAACTCGACTCACCGGGGTGCACTACTCACTACTATTAGAGAGAATACGGTATGTAAATTTGTGGGAATAAAAGGCATAAACTAATCAACAGAGAATACGGTATGTAAATTAGAATACCAGTACAAAATATTAAAGAAAACTATGCACTATCTTCGAAATGGTTCGAAGTTAAGGTGACCATTTTGGATGTGTGATACCACATTCGATAAACTCGTTCTTACAAGAGAATGGTCCAAAGTTAAGGTGCCCATTTGGGATTTGTGATACCATATTCGATAGATCTCATGATGAATATTGATGAACAAAAAAATTAGCTCCCGAAAGCAACTCTACAACGATAAATGCGGTAGACAAGAAGCAAAATTGACGTTTTTTTTCACAAAAATCTGAAATTTCTTTAATTAATGAAAGTTTAGTTTTTTAGTTTTATTTAAGTTCTATTATATGCAAAAAAGATTATTTAAAAATATTGATTCAGTAAAAAGTTACAGCCCCACGAAGGAGGGTAAAAAAAACGTCAATTTTGCTTCTTGTCTGTCGCATTTATCGTTGTAGAGTTGCTTTCGGTAACTAATTCTTTTGATCATCAATATTCATCAAGAGATCTATCGAATGTGGTAACACAAATCCCAAAAAATCACCTTAACTTTGGATGATTCCCTTGTAAGAACGAGTCAATTGTTAAAAACGAGAAACCAATCACTTTGTTAAGCAAATGATTTCAGACTTGGAACCAACGAATCACTAACATTGTTCTATATTCGATTTGGACAATAGGACTCATTTTAACCATTCATGTTTTCATTTTTGTTGATTGTCGAGCATTTCCAAAGGTTTGAGACATTGAATAGGTTCAAAATAGGTTTCCAGGACGATCATTCATTTGCTTTCAATATCGCTTCTCCAAATTTTATCCAAATTTTCTCTCAAGCTTATTTCCGAGCATTTCTAGAGATTGGAATCATCATTTGCTATATTCTGATAGGAATATTGTTATCCCGAAAAACTCAGAACTCATCAATTCGAAAGCACGCTTGGAACTCGTCAACAAAAAGAATCTGTATCTCGCAGATTCTCATTTTATTTCGTAAGTCTAACGTCAGTTCAATGTTAACTCATTTTAGCTAAACTTCTTGCCGCTTTCCTGGCCTTTTATATATATTACTTTGCCACTTTTCTACCACTACCCCTACCAAGCATGGATATTTTCTTCTTATCAATCAAATTCAGCGCCGTTGGCTATGGAGTTTTTGCAACGTTCGTCATTTTGCTATGCTTTCCGACTGTAAGTTTAACTTTAACTTAATTTCTTACAAAATAAAATGTTTATAAGTACTTTTGACTTTTCCATTTGAGAAATTTGCATACATCTTTGATTAAAGTACGTTTAAATCACAAGAACTGGTTCTTGTGACTTTTATTCAAGTGGTTTATGACTTGATTAGTTTATGACTTTTATTCCCCACAAATTTACATACCGTATTCTCTCTAATAGTAGTGCACCTCGCCAAGCCGACTTAATGACTATTTTACGGTTTTCAAGCTTTAGCAGAAGCTCAACACTCAAACCCCACACTAGATCTCATCGTCAGCTATATTTTCCGACCCCAAATCTATAGGTTCTGATAAGCGGTTCTCGAGATTTCGAGGAATTTAGGTGACACTCAGGGTGCACTACTATTAGACTAAATACGGTAATTTATAAGTTTAATTTATAAGTGAGGTCCGTACTGGAGCCTATCGTTCCCTTTTCCCCTGTATAATATATTAGGTTGGTGCAAAAGAAATTTCGGTCGATATAAAATGTTCTTATTTTTTTAATCTGAAGAGCTTATTTGATGTTCTTTTGTGCATTTGTACTCTTGGA